ATATTTAAGTCTAACATAATATAATATGACATCCAATACAACCCGTAATAATGAACTGTTGCGAAAGAATGATGATTTCGAACCACATTTTATGTAATATTAACTGCTAATGTTCAATTTGCTATATTTTGCTACATTTTGCTACATTTTGCTATAATTTTGCTAAGCAATTGCATAAGCAGCTGGTTGATCAGTTTTTAATACGAGTTTACAGTGCTTCGTTGCCGATAACAGTTTTCTTACTTTATCTCTTTGGGGCTTGGTATAAATAACATCATTTCCACGTAGACATTCCTCGAATGAATCTCTGTCTTTGCAATGAAACAGTGCTACCCATTTGGTCTGCTCTCTGAGATCTTTCAGGACAGAGTTGTATTTTTGAGTAAGTACCCAAACACTATGCTGAGTATGCCGTCCGGAGAATGCTAAATACTAAAGCATATCTTTCTTTTTTGTGAGTTCTTTACTCGCGCTGCAGTTGTCTATTACGAAAAGGGTTGATTCTCCTTTGTATCTTTCGTGACATACTTGGAGGCAGTCTTGTAAATGATCGCCCGGATCGACTCTGTGTACTGTGTCGTCATTCATTACCCAATCTCTCAATAGGTAGGTTTTATTAACGCTTATAGTCGGGCACAGAATAATAATATGATCGAAAACGTCCCGATAATGACTAAAATATCTAGAATAAAAGCTGTTTTTCCACAGCCCGTTTGCCCGCATATGATAGCGCAGTGGGGATCTTTAGGAAAAGATGATTAATAGATTGCTTGCACGAATCTTCCATTCTGTATATTAAGTTGCACATCCATAATCACGTACAAATATATGTTTAATTTACCAGCCGTTTGGAGCTTCGTTATGTGTAGGGTGACACCCTCGCTAGCATTTTCTATTCTCCTCCCACTGCCGTGTAGTTGGTCATCGTCCGTTGTTCGCATGTCGAGCCATAGCGCCTACTTCATGGTGAGGTATTCACCCATCGATACACTCCCGAGAGACAGATCTTTCACGACCGCGATAACTTCCGGGGAGCGTTTTATAGAAGGGAGTTTTTTAATCTCATCCCACTGGTGATACGCTAGCATTCCTTGACTATATAGTTGATTAGGAACGCCCTCGATAGTCAATTCTACTTTTGTAATCTTTGGATTGTAGAACTTCTCAGTATTTCTTTTAAACGCATCGGAGGGGTCCTCGAACAACATTAAAATACCCTTCAACGACCTCGTGGGAACGTTTAGATTGATATTCCACATCGTATCTTTTTTGACCCTCGTGATCTTTCGGTGTCTCAGCCCGCGATCGTACAAAATGGCTAAACTTCCTGTATAATGGTTACGAATTTGTCTGGCTAATTCGGGATCCGTTATCATATCGTACTCCAGAGAGATATTGTCAATGGAATAGCTAGCATCTTCACCACCAGTTCTGATTACTCTACTGTAGTCAATTAAAGTGAGTTCGTATTCTAACCTATCGCCTAGGGATGCTTGATAAAAGGGCATGTGGGAATCTAGTAATTCAAAGACTAGGGGAATATAGAATCTGTTACCTAATGCGTCGGCAACAGCCTTATCTTCTTTGTTGGTATCAACACCATTTTCAGCACCTACGCGCAGTCTCAATCTGTTCTTATTACAAATACCTTGGTACCATAAGTTTTCCCGCTCTTTATTGCATTGGTACATAATATATCTGGATCATTTTATTTGTTGTGCGGGGACCTGTGTTGTATATATATAGTACCGGTATGGATTCCATATGGGTCAAGAGTATGGCTATTGGGGGCGTGACGAGTTACCTTGAATTAACGTCAGTTATATAATTTGAACTTTGTAAGATTTGTTTTTCAATTTTAGGGGCTTGAGTCATGTCTAAAAAAAAAATGTTCTTAATTTGTTGCAATCTACTGACCTGTGATAATCCCATCAATAATTTATTCCAGTTATTAACGCTGTGAAAGCGTTGTTTAACAATAATCTTTTTAGCAAATGTTGTAATATAAAAATTTTTTAAACTGCAGCTGATTGCTTTTTGTCTACTCTACTTGCCAAATGTTTACAGTTATTTTAGACCAATTAAAAACCTTAGAGCAAATTCTGTCAAATTACTGTTGTTTAACTTAATAAAAAGTCTAAAAACATTAGTTTGTACTATATGAATGGTGAGGCAAGCCCCATATCACCATTAATATCAAGATTGAAAGTGGTTTTACATACACCCGGACAAAATACGACATGCTCTGTTTTCTTTGATAATAACTTGCATACATTTGTTTATACCCCATATTGCTGATCCATAAAACATGACTGGTTCAACCAGAGATTCATAGAACTTAACACATACATTATTAGACATACTTTCTGCAACATCAAATTTCTCAAATAGCAATGGTAAGGCGTGACTGGCAGATTTATAGTGTTTCCTAACAGTTCTTCCTATATCTAAAAAGTAATTGAACAATTAGCCAAGATGTCAGTAACATTCAACATTCTGTAATGTGACATCACCACAATTGAATTGAATTTTGGTCATGTTACAGAAGGACATCTTAAGTGTACACTTCTTGTCTTGCTACCATTTATAATTAACGCCAACGTTTGCACCAATCATTCAAGACATTAGGCATAGATTGTAGAGACGCTTCATCTGGAGCAATGCGCTCGACATCAACATCACACAACAGCAAAGATAATTTTACATCGTTTATTTGAATACCACAATTGAGATTATTAATACATTCAACTAAATCATGAATGTACACTGAAAATAAAGAAGGGGAGAATTGACAGCCGTGTTTTACTCCTCGATAAGCAGGAAAACGTTCAGTGAAATATCCATTCAATTTTACAAAACAAATAACATCACGATATAGAGATTGTATGGCGTCCAGTATTTTGCCTTTTACACCAGCTCTTCGCAGCTGGAACTGCAAATTATCTCTTGTAAAGGTATCAAACGCCTTTATTAAATCATCAAAACTGAGAAAAGTTGATTGTTTTCAGGTTATTCTATTTTGAATTAAAGTAGATAATGCGTAGAGATGAATCTCCCTTTTGTTCACCAGCTTAAATAGTATTGCTCTCCAACCAACCAGACAGTCGAGTATTTAATATAACTGCATGTAATGAAGGGATTGAAATAACCATAATACCTTTATATTCTAGCAGGTAACATGAACCTTTAATACCAGCTTTTGGTATCAGGTTACATACATTCTCATCCCATGAACTAGGTACAACGCCGTTATTGAAACAATATCTTATAATACTGAACATTAAGGCAAGACAACTTGCGTTCCTTAATACGGCTGCTAATATCAAGTAAACCCGTTCGATTTTCCCCATTTAGATGGTTCCCCCTTGTTGCTGTCTGTCGCCACAAGGATCAAGAATATGACTAAAGAGGTGCTTCGATGCTTCTGCTTGTCTCTAAAGATGTAACTATTTTGTCGTTGATATTTGAACCCAAAAGGGTTGTATGAACATATGGCCACGCAAAATTCAAGGCTACTGGTAGTACTTCAAGGTCACCAGGATCACTAAAGCAGTACTGCTACATTATGACTAGGAGATACCCCTTGGTACCTGATAATAGAAGTTTAATTACCTTAATTATTTGTTTCTTCTTAGACATGTATGATGTGCTTACTTCTTTACGTATTGATAGAAAACAATGCATGTTTACAAGCACACATAAGCTTTTTGAACATGGCAGTTGTCCTGATTTCAGTAGAAGTATTACTATTCTTCTACCTTCGTACGTCATCATTTGTTAGAATTGTTTATGCTTTGAATATCCTTTGATGTCTTTCGTCAGTCCGTTTTTAGTCTAGTTTCTCTATTAAGCTTTGTTTTCATTTGCTTTGTAAGTATCTAAGATCTCATATGTGAATCCTGTTGAAAGTGGTTTGATTCCGAACGGGCTCATGTTGGAGTCCTTGGTATGAGCAGTAAATAAGACCAAAACACCTGAATAGTATGCTAGATGTCACTTGTGAAAAAATCAATTCTAATCTCATTGAAAAAAACCCAGTGTATTTAGCCAACCAACATTATAACATTATCTTTCTTCTATGCCATTGTGTACTGAATAGTGAGCACATTTTGCACATTTATCACTCTCCTCTTTCATTTAGATCCGTGGTAGAAAAGGCCTTCAGCAACCCATGCTTGCCGTAAAAGGCGACTATGCTTGTCATAAGAGGGATCGGTTGGTCAGGCTCGCTGACTTGGTTGATGCATGTCCTTGTATCCCACTTGCGTGGATCGATGCTCACGTTATCAACCACTGGATTGTCATTTACAGACCGCCGTCATATAGCTGGAATATTGCTGAGTGCGGCGTTAAACAACAAACAAACAAAACAAACTTTCATATGATCATATGAAATATAATCCTAGATATATTAAATAAAATATCAATAGATATGGCCTGTCCTGCTGTTCATCTCTAATGGGGAATGAAAATGAATTAAGCATCAATGGCCCCATGATAAGCCTTATTTCACACCAGTACGCTTTAGGATTTCTAAGAAAAGAGAGGAGTTAAGAGTTGTGTTTCATTCTAAACATTTAAGGCGGGATGGATATGGTCATAGAAAGAAACAAGAACCTGAACAGGATATTTTGTGTTTTGAATATAAGATGAATGTATGCAAATAAGCATGAACATATTCTATCTCTATGTTTGTTACATTATAAAATAAGTATTAGTTTTAGCTAGTTGAGAATTATTGTGTCAGGAAATCGAATGCAATTTGCAGTCATCAAACCTAACAAGTTCCCATCTCTCTCAACAACTTGACGGAAATTGTGAGAAAGTGTCTATGTTGAAAAATGTCTGAAGTAAGTACTTGTGTTTGTTTGGATATGTGTGATCTAGTATCACTAACAGTTACATTGCAGAACAGCAAAATGAGAAAAACCGAGTAATTTTGATGTTCAGTTTGTTGATTAACCACTTCCCAACAGTACAGACGGTGTGTTGTGTTTCAGCTGGTGCAGTGGTATATGCTCGTCAAGGAAGTAATGCAACCTTGTCCTGGAGACTATCCCAGCCTGCTGTCAGGGAGTTTACAGTGAGACGTTATTCATCAGATATTGTGTTCCATGTGACCAACTACAACAAGGTGGACATCACTAGCACGTACAGGACAAGAGCAGAGTTTACTGGGAACATTGACTCGTCAGGATCTGGTGTGTTCAGTTTCCTGGTGTATAATGTTGTGTGGAATTCTGACCATGGTGTCTACAGATGTTACAGGGGTTCACCAGGCTCTAGAGGGGATCAGATGTCTGACTGTGGACAGGTGCTTGATGTCATACGTGAGTATATGACTCAACTGATTGTACAATGATTTTGTTGTAATGTGATGATATGTATTTGGAATCCATAAACTGATACGTTCTTTCAATCAAATTCCCTCAAACAGTTTTCATTTCACACACAAAACAGGATTTACTCTGTGCTTATAATTGTCCAACAGAATTTGGAAATATTAATGAAGCACAAGTATTTTGAACAGTTAAATCAGGTACAGTACTGCTAGTTTTAGAGAATCTTATATATATACATACATATATATATAGGTGTGTGTGTGTGTGGGGGGGGGGGGGGGGGGGGGGGGGGGGGGGGGGGGGGGGGGGGGGGGGGGGGGGGGGGGCGCAGGTTTATGCTGATGCTATTCGTTTGTGTATTGCCCTTGTTTAGTTTTCAAATTGGTGTCAGAGTGGTACCCTTTTGGTTAAAGCGTTCACTCACCAAGCCGAAAACCCAGGTATGATTCTCCACGTGGGTACAATGTATGAAGCCCATTTTCTGGTGTCCCCCGCCTCATTATTGCTTCAATATTGCTAAAAGCAGCCTCACTCACTCACTCACTCACTCACTCACTCACTCACTCACTCACTCACTCACTCAAACTGTTATTTGACAAGATGTTATCAATTATGATAATGTACTCGGATGATACCGAGCAAAGGACACTATGCAATGATGATTTAAATATCAATATGATCAGAGATAACTCTCTTACGCAATAATCAAAGTTAGAAAACAACCTGCGCACCAGGCTTATGTTTCTTTCTTCTATTTGTCCATCACTTGATTGTCTGGTTTGTTAACATGCCGCCGCTGGGTTGCATAGTACGGATGTGCCTTGTCAGGCAACACACACATACTTTTTTATGCAAATTGGGTGAGTGGCGCGTTCTACCGGTAGGGTAGGGTATGCTTACCCTTTTCGCGAACACTTGGTGTCTTCACTGATTTTCCGTGTTCCACTCATATTATTTTCACCACTATGTTGCATTTTGCGCCCAATGAAATATGTTTTGGTGGATAATCGAGACTTGTTATTCTCTGGCGTTGACGTTTTATCCTTTACCACAAACGTCATTGTTAATACTTTCTTAAAGTATCTGGCTTCATCTGTGCACAAAACAAACAGTCTTCTGGATTGGAAGGATATACATCACCTGTTCTTCATAACTGGTTTACTAATTTTAAGTTTTGAACATCAAACCTCTATTTGTGATGAAGAAATCATAAAATCATGATCAGAACATATTTCTATTAATTGCATGAAAAGGCAGTGCTCTATAACATGGAATTCACCATCACATATAATGCAGGAGCACAAGTCTATTGTTTCAGTAAGAGATGTATAAGTGTATTGTCATAAATGCAAGTGTCTACTGGAAAAGGTGTTTCCTATTTGAATTTGGCCAGTGCATGTCTGTGTGATCTTGGAATTTAATATATTGCATTCTTCACCAAAACAAAGCTATCACTGACTTGATGGTACAACCACTGCCCGATTACACCGCATGTTTCCATAACTATAACCATAACTAGGATACCTGTTAAATGCAAGATCTCTTAGCTCTTCAAAAACGTTGACAAGAAAATATGTTCATTATGTGACATTTGTTTTCCATTTGCTGGAATGTTTCTCAAAGAGATTAATATAATAGTTGTGGAATCATTGTCTAAATAAACATTATGGCCTGAACTTATTGAAACGTAACAGTATCAGCTGTATGTTGTGGAATATCATTACTCCGTGAGTATTAGTCTCTATGCATACATCCATGACGTGTGCCAGAAAATGTCTTGTCACTGTTAGGTGATTATCTCAATTTTGATAGATTTGTTGTGATCTACATCTACAGCAAACGTAGACTGAGGCTATATTTGGGTGATGTGAACTCACAACTACCCCGCTCTATCTGCTTCACTGGGACATAAACGGGGATTGTATGTCGGACATATCATGGGTATTTCAAACGTAATGAATCTTTCTTTTACTTTCTTTTGGACCCCATAACGAAAAAATTAGACTTTCTTCAGAGATTTTACAAGTGTAACGAGGGACATGAAATTAAATATGGGTAAGCCTATTACCTTATTAAGAAACAGGTCAAGTGTTAACGGTTTTTTAGATGCACTTGCACCGACAAGAACATTGAAGTGGTCAGTTCCTATAAATAACTGAGTCCTTCTCAATAAACATTTATTCTTCTGACCTCGAGTTGAGCCGGATCAGACGAGTTGTAACTGTTGGTCACTCATACGTTAAAGTCTCCACAAAGAAAAAAAACAAAGTGACAATCATTATTTTCATGAAAGTAAAAAGTGGAACCCAATGGAGGAATATGCGTGGCCATCAATACGATTCCTTACAAAGAGAGGTACTTTTCTCAGAATGTAGACACAGTATTGTCACATGGTGTGGTAACTGAAGTGACAGCATTTCAAATTAGCGCTTTTTGCAGTTTATCTAACATACTATACACAAAGGAATAAAATACATTTAATATTGTATGATGTAATTGGTGTTCGTTGTGAACTCTGTCATCAGCGTAATAAATTTGTTTTATTATGTTCCATAGCCTAATCTGAAGTTGTGAACTGTTTTAATTTTAAAATAAAATAGGTAAGAAAAACTCAAGATGTCATAGAGAGAGCTTTACGCGTATAGATTATATGGTTACAACAGTTAGAAAGGGGTGTTTGATTTATGAAGCCCGATCTCTGTCAGTTCTTATGTTTTATTAGATGTACCAGATAATAGGTTGCAATGAAATGTGCAATATCTGGAATTTATCAGGATAATTATTTTTTTCTGGGGTACAACATATGAGCTACACATCAGTGTGTGTTGATAAAAGCGTTCAAATCATGTCCATGCTCATTAGTAATATCAGCTAATAACACTGTCCACTGTACGATTCCGATCATATCATAAACATGTGGCACCCATCACAAACACATGAAAAGGAAGGTCAATTGTTCACCCGAAAAACACGTGAACATATGGTGCAAGTCAAAAAGGGAATTGCACACTCACATAAAAATTTCCAAACAATGTGTTTAGTTATACAGAATATAAAATTTGAAAGTGGGACCAACAGTTTTTACAGCTGTTGTCAAATGTGGGAGACATTCACAAGTACGGGTATCCAGGCGGACACTCTTTCCACTACAACACGATGGCGGTCCGTCATTGTACGAAGTTTTAAGAGCAGATTTCGGATTGCCAAAAGTATTTTACACCAAAATCAGGTATGATGTAATAAATTATTATCATGACAATAGTCATAGATTTTATCTTTATTTTCCTCGTTCAAAATGGAAATCCGTAAATAATATATATCACCCTTCCAAGTGTATGTATGTTTAGTTGATAATATGAGGGAAAGGTACAATATCCCTGTATCGATACTCTATACATTCTGTATAAAATTATCTTAGGATGGCAGATGTCGGGGCTAGGATTTATTTGTATGTTTGTGGAAACATACTAATAAGAATCATTTCCTTAAAACATAAACATATTAGTTCATAACACAACTAAATAGTTATTAGATTATGTAAAAAGGATCAAGACATAAGACCCATGCACACGTTGAGGGGTTGGGGCGGGTGTGGAAGGAGTGTACCCACACATTAAAGTTTAAAGTCATTTTTACTACCTTTACATTATCCTCCCTGAAAGCCATCGTTAAGTTACAACCTGATGACAATTCAGTGCAGTGCCTCGATGAAGTCAACGGGGTGCACATGGGTTGCGTAACGCGTTGCTCATGCATGGAAGGGGAATGAACTTCTAGGCAGTAGTGTAGTTATAAATGTATGAGAAGAGGGTAGTGTAGAATACCAGTTTTGTTTAAAATGATCAAGAAGTCTTACCTTAAATAATCTGATAAAAATGTCAATATTCCCAAAATCCTGGCTAATCCATACAAAACCAAACCCAAATTGAAATAGCATATGTTTGAAATGTGTAGCCCATGTGATTCTGCCAGCATCATCAAGAGACTTCAACATTAAATAACACTGATGAGATAGCCTATATCTATCTGGAGTGATTAATCTACACCAGTACTTAACTGCCCTTGACATGTATGTAAGCTGAAGTAGAGCTCCACCAGATTCACCCAGTACCATACTATTGCATGTACTTTTACCAACTTTCAGGACATATTTTCACATCCTTGTCTGAACATTTTCAGTAGTTTTACAATATGTTGTTCCCCAGATTTCTGAACCATAGCACAATATTGGTGTCACCATTGCATCAAAAATCCTGAAAAGATCAGTACAAATAATATTACCTACTCTCTGTTGATACCTGTATATTGCCATTAGGGCTTTATTTGCTTGTGATGTAAAGGGCCTGTCACACACTACCGATATACCTCACCAGGACTAAACCAGAGCAAACATTTAACAACAGTGAGAAAATCGGCGGAGCTCCGGCGAGAAAGCACTTGAAAAATCAAAATTGACCGTAGCAATACCGATGTAGTACCGGCGTTCCCATTGAGATACCGTTGTCCTACCAATGTAAGAGCCGATGTGCTACCAAATACCACTTTTCTGTCACCTTAGTGTTACTGATCCGCCGCCGATGTTATACCGATGTACCACATTTGACTGGAGCTATAGCAGAGTGATACTGTTGCGCTGCCGATGCACTACCGATGTGACGGTGGAGCTCCGGTATCACGTAGTCGGCGCATCGGTACTACTTCGGTGGTATTCGGCCGTACTACGGTATCACAGTGATACCAGCACGCTACACGTTGAAGCAACAGGAGAGCCGCCGATCCATTACGGGGCGCTACCGGTGCTCTACCGACATTAACGAAGCCATACCGGAGTACTGCCATTGTAGTCCCATTGCTCGCTCCTGCAGCGCGACGGCGGAAATTTGTAAGCATGTTCAAAAATTCCTAACGTCGCCTACCGTTGCTAAATTTGAATCTGATGAATATCCAAGAGATGGGAGCGATTTATTTCACCTAGGAGATTCAAACAA